AGAAGGAATTATTTTTTTTAAGAGTACTTCTGGTTTATATTATCCAGAGCATCTCAGTGGAATAGCTTTGTATTAATAATATCTCATCTATTATGTATATTGCAATATGCCTAACACAATTGCTGAAGTAATTAGATGCTGCTAATTCTTTTTCTTTTTCTTCCCTCTTCTGAGGAGGTAAAGAGATTAGGAGACTACTTCAGAGCAAAGTATACATTACACTACAGAATTCCCACAGATTAGCAGCATCAGCATTATGTTTCTTGTTTTTCTACTTCTACCTAAAAATCTATGCTCTTCTTGAGCTCTTCTATTCTGCCTCCATTTTAATGCCCACTGACTGCACTGTATCATAGCATCGTTGCATTATTTATTTTTGATTATTTAGTATTTCACTAGAATTCAAATTTTCAACTTACTTTAACATAGTCTTATTTTAAAGATGCAAAATAAGGAAGCTAGAGAACGAAGTAGTAGATGAATATTGAAAGGTCTGAATTAATCTGGATTAAAGAGTCCAGATTTATCCTGTCTATGATACACTGACCAAGACTTGAGATGCCTTTTTTTCTGACAGATATTGCATAAGTCTTGATCATTAATAATCATTTTAAACCTTTTGTAAGTGTGTGAAAAGCTACTGGGGAAAAATGCAGAGGATTTAGAATGAAATCTGTGAAGCTTCAGCTGTTTTATATTTTTTCCCCAATGTGCTTCCATAAGAGATTCCCTCTGCTTTAAGTCATCACTAAAGCAATTGTGTACTACTTAACAGAGGTGCTATTTTCTACTTCATGTGTCTCCCTATGAATTGTGCAAGAGGCATTAGAGAGCCCTGCCTTCCACCAAACACATAAAAAGGCATAGCAGAAAAAGCTTTACTGATTTATTACATTCTCTATGCATTGCCTTTCTGGGAGGGAGGGAGGGAGAGAATTGGCAGCGGGTCATGCTGCGGAGCAGAGCCTGCAAGGACACAGGAAAATCTTTGCTAACCCCCAAAGATTTTGAATAGCTCCGTACAGCAGTCCTCATTATCATGAGCACATTTTTCAGGCATTACTTAGAGATAACATCAAAGAAACACGCTCCAATGTTGGATTCCTTTTCCTCCTCTTGGCTCTTGCATCCATAAATTCCAGACCGAGGGAGGGAGTTCGGGCAGCAAAGCCCAGGGATGCTCTGGGAGGAGGCAGGACACAAACATCCTTCCAGAGGGCACTTCCCAAGGCATCTCCCACCACCAGCCGTGGACCAGCTTCCCATGGACTGACGACAATCCCACGGGGAAGAGGTGTGACTTTCCAACTACAGTGGGCAACCTCATTCCCCTGCTGAGGAGCTTATTCCAGAGGAGTCCTATGGCACCAGCAGCCATACTACGGCTGGGCAGGGAGTGATCAAAAGCAGGCAGAAATGGAACAAAATACTTTCTGTCACTTGCTGCTGGGTAAGTGACATCAACCTCCTCCACATTTTCTAGTGCTGGATTCATGCATGGGATCTCTACAAAGAGCAGTCTATGTTGAGGCAACTGGATCAAGCCACGTGTCTGTCATTGTTCAAACCTTGTGTGCCACGATGACCATGGCAGCTGAGAAAGTGTAAGTGCAGTGGCAAAAAGCATATTTCTAATAGAAAGGCAATGTGTTGCTTTCCCATGTGCAAACATCAAGTCACATGGCATCAATGCAGATTTATTTTAGCTTGCTTGGAGGAAAAAAGCAAAATAAACAAAGGAACGGTAAGGGGGTATAGAGTCTTACTGAGAAAGTCGTGTACATCATGTTTTGAAGGATCCTCCATCTTCAGTTGTCACGGACCTCACCATTGTTCTCTCCAATTTCAAACAATATTGAATCTTAACAGTTGCTGAGCTGTGTATGTGATGCATCATGGGTTGTTTTTCCACATGTGACTGCAGCTTTATGGATTTCTCTGTTGGGCCTGGCCCTCTGAAGAGCAGGCATAATTGGGGGACTGCTCTGCTCAAATGGTATGCTCTGCTTCAAGATTATTTTCATTTGGGGCAAAAAATCAACTGCTGACATTGTTAGGATGAGCAACATAAGGCCTAAGTACTAATCTGAGGTTTCTTAGTCAGTTCTTGACTTCTCAGACCTTCACTGTTTTGCCATCTGCTGTAATTGAAAATTGCCTCTGCAACCAAAGGGAAAATCTAATTTCTCAGCAAGCCATATGGGGTTATTAAGATCATTAAACCCTGGTATGCCATAATGCCTGGGCCAAAAGGACCACAGGGCATGTAAATATTGTGTGATTCATTTTATAGCTTCAGATTGCAAGTTAGGAATTATTTTGATGGCTATCTTATGATGAAAAGTGGTGGTCAAGTAGGTTACTGCAGATGTTGCTTGGTGAGGTCAATCCATAGTACGTTTGTTCAGAGCTGTGACAGACGAGAAGTGGATTTAATAGTGTTTGATCGTAAAGGGTAAATCTTTTGTATCAGCCTGACAAATGATCAGAACCCAGCCAGTGTCCTCGATTGTGCCGGTGGTGCTAAAGGCAGCCTTAAATTTTGATATTAAGAAACCAGAGAATACAATTTCCACTTTTCAGGAGGACCCAGACTTAGCTTCTCGTACAGGATCTGAAGCTGATGATATAAATGGTACTCCCTTTCCCTTCTTGAGAATGGGGAAAGCTATTCCTCTGCAGATGCCTGTTCTTGAAAACTTTAAAACTGAGCTGCTGGTATTTTTCTCTATATTCTCCATTTCTCTAGTTGTGATATTTTGTAAGATTTCTTCCTAGCAAACCCCACTTCTTTATATTTGATACAACTATGTGTGAGAATATTAAGGCTGATTTTTGGCTAATAAGACTTCAGAAATGAATGCAGGAGCTGTGAAATTTACATAAAATTAAAGAAAGAATAGTTCAGTAAATGCAAATAAATGCAGAAATGAATATTTTAATTTAGATTCATGATTAATGCCAAAGGATTACCAGCAAACCATTGCAATGTGGTAGTGACATAAAAACTCAATAGGAATAAAAATTCTATATGCACTAGATAACTGATGGCAGTAAGCTATTTTTAGTAGGAGAGCTCAGAGTAATTTATTTGTTCTTTTTGAAAAATATAGCTATTGATTATATTTCACGTTTTGTCTTTGTGTTAATTATGCCTTAGAATATTATTTACTGGTATAATATTGTATCCATCCCTGCATTTTAAAATGTGACAACTGTGGTCAATGGACTTATTCCCATTCTGCAAGTTATTAAATTAATTATATTGAAAATAGACATTACTGATTACCACTTTTCTTTGTGTTATGTAACTAAAGGAGTTAAGAACAAATAGTTATAATTAGATGTAAGAAAGCAAACAGTAATTTTTCCCTCCTTCAGCTTTTCAGTGATCTCAATCTGACTGCATGTATCTTCTCTGTAGATCATGGGTTTCTGTAGGTCGAGGTTTCTGCTTTAAGACAATTGAAGCCAAAGCATGCCTGAAGAGGCTTTATTTTCTGCAGCATTGCAGTCAATACATTGTACTATGTTTCAATCAAGATAATTTAAAGGAGGTAAAGAAAAGTATTTACTGTTCTAGTTATATTTATACTGTCCAAATAGCTTTCTTATTTTAGTGTTCCTGGATAACACAGTTAGAATAAGAGAGTGATAGTTACCATTTTTCCAAAAATTGGGGATCCGGTCAAAGTTTGTGGGTGTGTTTTTTTTTGTTGTTGTTTTTTTTTTTTTTTTTTTTTTTTTTCTCTCTAACATCATCATTGAGAAGCCATGAAAAAATGTGGTTGGCTTTTAGTTTGCATGAGGAGTGTATATATATATATATATTTTGTTGTTGTTGTTGTTGTTGCTGTTTGGTTGTTTGGGTTTTGTTAACAGGAATCTCACAGTCCTTCCCACTTCCTACACTCTGGGTCACCTAACAGAATAATCCACCTGAGGCAATACAGGTTGTGTCCCTGCTGGATGTGCCCTGGGAAAGCCCCTAATGTTCTCCAACCACTCATGGGCATTCGGGTTGCCACCTCAGAATGGTACTTGGAACGAGTCTTAAGGATGAACCCCACAATGTGTATAGGCTCCAAGTAGGAACAGCTTTACAGAAAAAAGTGCCTAGGAAAGGGGTGGGGGTGGGAGACAAGGACCTCATCATTAAATCAGGAATCTCTTCCCATGACTTTTGTGTATAGCTAAATGAACCTGCTGCCATGATGGCATCACATTTCTATACCAACACATTATTCTTCTCCTGTGCATTAGGCGTATGCATGTGTCTCCTCTTGCAGCGTAACTACTCTTTTGAAGTTATATTCATTTGAGAAGTTTGTGTGAAAAAATCCTCACCCTGCACTAATTGCGGTGTCCATCTTAATACATCTCATACAAGGGAAAAAACGGAGACCTTGATGATGAAGTATTGCTGGCAGAATATGCATGTACTTAACAGAAATTATCGTTATGCCTGAATGCTAATTAAAGGCAGCACAAACCCAGCAAAATCCTAACTCATCTGAAACTAATGGGAATTTCATCTCCACCCTGTGTAAGTTTTGTTTCTGACTTCTTTATGCATTGCTGGTGGTGCTGGTCTTTGATGTGGATCACAAGTGAGCCCATGAGGAATTATGTAATGAAAATATTTTGAAGCCAACCCTGACATAATCTGGCTTGAAAAAGATCAAGAGCTCATAATATCATTACTGTCATATAAGGCTGAACATGTTTATATTTGTCTAGCTTCAGTCTTATGAGTGCCCTGAACTGTGTATGTGACTCACCTGCAATGTCCTTACCTACTGCATTATCAAAGCTATTGTCACCTAGTGTCTCAAATTTTGAGAATTAGTCCAATCTAAACATCAGTGCCATGTGTAAATTGTTGTATTGATTCCTCTTTTCTTATTAGACTGATTCTTCCTGCACAGGATTTATTCATAATATTTTTAAAATTTGTTATTTCAGCCTTAGAAGTGTATCTAATCAATATTTATTTTTACCTGTGTGAATGATTCAGAGCATCATCAGGCTTCTTCAGTTTTAAGTAGCAAGTTACAAGCTTTGTCTCAATAAAACTGGCGATACTGGAGATATCTTCCGGAGATGACTGAAGGGGATAGTCTATAGCAACACCTTTACTACAGATCTGTACAAGAAACAAAAACGTTACTTACTAATGTTATAATACACCTTTTGTTAGGGAGAAATGCTTTTTGTAACTCATAAATGGATAAAACTGACTTTTAACTAAAATATAGCTCGACTTTAGTTAAAGTTAGCATTCCAGAAATCAGTACAAATACATGTGAACATAATATAAAGTGCAGTGTCATCTTCCTGGAAGGGACAGTCAAGAGAGCAGGTAATAAGCTAAAAACTAAAAAGCACTGTTAGTAAAGAAACTATATTTTTCCTCATTTTAAAAAATAAAGCTTCAACTTCAGGCTCCCAAAATCTGTGGCTGTCTTCAGATGGAGGTTGAAGGAGGAGTCTCAGACAGCTATTTACTTATTTCAGTAAGCCAGTGGTGAGCTCTGCCTTAGGCTCTGCTGCTTTTGTCCCACGGGTAGGAAGGAGAGTGATACGAGGCAAGGAAACCAGAAATTCTCCCCCTCATTTAGTGAGTGGACTTGTCCCTCCAGAAAACTGCTATAGAAATTAAAAAGGGGAGATCAACCGTCTTTCCTGTATTCCTGAGCTGTATAGAACTTAGCAGACAAACATCATATTTTCTGTTTAAAATGATACTCTTTTCCTGATAGGTAAATTGCGTGCTGTTCATCACAGCCAGTCACTTTCTCATTAAATAATGTCCTCTATGATAATGTGCATCATTAGCATTAGATAACCCACGTTTTAATGTTTCAGAGAGTCTTCAGCACTGGAAAAGCTGCAACACTGGGCAGGACCACCTTTGGTCCTCGTATCTTTGTTTTATTAATCTACAGGCAACCTGATTTTGTAATGCCAGAGAGTAGTAAAAATTAGCTTTTAGTTATTAAGAAAATTCAACTGTAAGCAAGTAGATTAAGTCTAGAGCCTTGTCTTTAAGGACAATAACCATATAGTGCTACTAATGAAAATGCAATTGAACGTCCTTTGCTTGGATAAACATCCCTAACAGGATTGTTTAGTGTGCAGTGAATACATCTAAGTGACTTCACTGTGAATCAGATTTAAAAGTAGATTTCTAATAAAGATTAACAAATGAATATTCATCTATGCTGCATGCTTAAACTCTTGGATCACACTGAGACTAGTGCTGAGGATCCTTATGGCACTGATATGCACCTGCAACCTAATGTGGATGAACACAGACTCTGTTTTAAATGGAGTATAACCAAGGAACTCTCCCTTGAGTCCAGTTTTGCCAGTCACTAAAGCTTTAAAAAGGAAGAAGGAGGATCTGGCCTGTTTGTCTACCTCCTCATCACTAATGAGCTTAGTTATAATAACTGTTTTCTTGTGACTACATTGTTAAAATTCAGTGGTTGATCTTTAGGATGTACAATGTCAACTCAGCAGTTTGAGATCTCTTTAGAAGATTAAATCTGTCAAGAAAAAAAAGCTCTTCTATATATGCATTTTTCTTCCTGTGTGCGATTCCTAAAAGCAAAGATTATAGACCACATCCACACTCAACACCTACAAAGCTAACCCTATCTTTAAGATTTCTGTGCATTGGTTAGAGATCAGCTCAATTCTTCACAGGCAACAAGGGTTGTTCAAGGAAGTGTCCCCCTAGTTCAGGTGTGATAAATATTTTTTCTTTCACATTCCTTCTCTGCTGAGCGAAGTTACACAGTGTATATAATAATACTCATACATTTAAGATTTTCTATCATCTTGTTATCAGTAGAAGTTATAAATCAGAGAATTCATCACTTTTAACTTTGCTCATGTTACCATATATATCTGCTGAAGTGTCTCTATGGGTGAGACATGCTATATGTATCTAAAAGACCCAGAGAATTATGTTCACATCAGTGAACATAAAAGTATCATCAAGTTTTTCTGTAATAACACTTTTCAGCTGAATTTGCCATACTGTGACCTCTGTTAAATTTATGGGAATGAGAGATTTGAGGGTACTCCCTGGACTTTCAAGTTCTTGAATGATTGTGAGAATAAAAGAATCACTTAGGGATCCCTTCAGTATAAAGTGCCTCAATTCAAAGTTTCCTCGAGTCTTACTGCTGATATGAAGAGTTATGTTTAGACCTGTGTAACCCCTCAGTTATCTTTGACAAAAACCAAGATGTGAGTCTCTGTAAACCACATCTGAACAGATAAGGATTCAGAAAATATGTTTAAATACAGTGAAGATTGGGTTCTGCCAGGTCTCCTCTACTCTCAGTGTAAGGGTTCAAAGAAATGAATAATAGTTCAATCTTTAATCTCACAAAATCAGAACAAAATTTTAAATGGTTTTCCTGTGTTTGTGACCATACAGGTTTTATACTTTTTAGGTTCCAAACTCTCTCTACTGATATTGGTGTAGCATTTCTGCAGTGGATCAATGCATTTGAGATAGACCTTTCCACGCTAATTCCATGCAAACAACAGCAACATGCATCAAAGGTAGGATTCACAGAAATGTCTCCTTCTGTACTAAGCAGAGGGGTTATGAATAGATGAAATATCCTTAGTGTCTGGTACTAGTGAGGTGCACAATTAAATGTACTCACTGGTATAAGGGGCTTTTTTGGTAGCAACATAGACCCCACTGGAAAAAGCTTCTGTTGGGTGAAGCTCCTCCATGCAGCCTGAAAAGCACATCATCTGTTTTCCAAGCTCTGATGGAGATCACACCTTTTGTGTGTGGTTCCTCACCCTTTACTGTATTTTGCTGGCCTATCCAATCAAAGGATTTGGCTATGCGTCAGGAGAAGGACAGTTTCCTTATGCTGTCCTGTCCGCCACTGAATACTCAGTCTGAGCATTTTTGGGGGTTGAGGCAAAGACAGCGCCAGAAAGCACCTGAGAAAGCTCATTTGGGGAAGTTCCCAGGGGAGGAGGTAGGCAGGAAGGAGACAGTGAGCTGGGATTCTGCAGCATACATGGGGATGTGGAGAAGAGTTGTAGAAAGACTCACATCTGAGTTTCAAAGGGGAAGAGAAAAAGGAAAATTTCCTAGGGATCCAAAGGAGCCTCTGTAGCTACAGACTGTTGTAACTTTGGGAAACCCTGCTGGACTGAGAGCAAAGGAAAAAAAAAAGGCTATGCTATGCACAGGCATAATGAGCAGGGAGGAGATTTGTTTGCAATTTTCTTGTTTCACCCAGCAGGCCAAGTTTTCTTTATCTTGCTGTAGTCTGCAGTCCGATAACACTACCTTTGAAGATCAAAAGGGCTGTTGGTGTTTTTGGAGTGCTTTAAGTAAAAGGTAAAAGCAGCTCCATCTCACTCCTCTGAATACCTTAAAGTCTTGTCACAAGGATGTTCAAACATAGATGTGGGCTTGGAGAGACAGTTACATTTTGTACCATTGAGGGTTTCTTTTCCCAGAGCTTTGTTACAGAATTTTGTTTTAATTCCAAATTGGGAAATGTTGGGGTACATCTTAATTTGAGCTTTTGGTCTGCAGAAATCTTGCCAATATCTTAAAAGGTTACAGAGACTATGAAATTGAAGCAAACAAACATTTGAAGCTTTACAGTCAATCTGGGGTTAAAAAAACCTGTAATGTATCATTGTATGTCCTTTACCATAGCTAGCAAATTTATCAGTGTTTTTTACTTTCAGACTTAGTCTACCTGAGAGTATCCCTGTCAGTAGACAGGAATATTTTTCCAAAAATAATATTTAATTTAAAAAATCCTGTCAAATAATATTTATATTTTCATTGGGGCCTTTGTTACAACTGGAGGCCATTGTGCAAGTTTTGTGTGCACGCATCCTTTAGAAGTATCCTGGATTATCGCAAAGAGTTACCAAATATATAAATGAAATATAAGGAATGGAAGTGTTACCTGCAATTTTTGTATTAGTGGTGAACTGACACTAATTATATTATACTTTAAAGGAGGTTTCTCTTGCAATGTTTAGGACCTTATAAATATATTGCTGAAACCTTAGTCATATAAATGCTTGTGATAAAGTACTTTGCCAAAGGTCACAGAACAAGTCTGTGACACTGTGAACTTAGCATAGATCTTGTTGTGGTATTAAGGTTTAATTTTGGCAGTAGCAAGCAAGGACATTTTATGAGTAATGACCTCCCAGGTATCAGCTAATAAGAGAGAGGAAAAGATCCCCCCAAGCCCACTATGGCTTTGGTAAAAGACCAGTGGAAATACTGATCATTAAGGTGGCTTCCTAGTTAGCATATGTGTAATTTGGAAGAATAAAAATAAACCTCTAGTGATCTGTACGTTGACACATTGGAACTGTTTTCCAACAGTGGAAACAAGGTGAAAGGATCAGATGTAAGAAACTGGCAATGGCAACAGTTTACTATCACTGCTATAGGTTTGGTGTATGCTATACTCAGGAATATGGTTTGCTTTAAAGAAAAAGATGCCCAGTAGATATCCATCTATGTGTGTGGATATAGATAGATACGTATTTGATAGCAAATTTAGCTTGGGAAAATTAGTAAGTTTGGTCAAATGGTGTGTGGCAATGAGATTCTTTGGCAACTTCTATGAGATCACTCATGCTTTTGTCTGCCGGACTGAAAGGGTTGAGTTAGTCTGAATACAACAATAACCTGCTAGCCTTACTGGAGCTGATTGCTTTACTTTTTCTTTTATTTTTTTTTCTCCCTTTTTTTTCTTTTTTTTTTTCTTCCTCCTTTGTTACCAGAGAAATCTTTAATCATTCCTCTCCATTTTAAAGATAACTTTGTGGTTTTCCCTGGAGTGATTTTTAGTGTGGCTAATCAGAGAGACCAACCTGAAAAGGCAAGAAATATTTAATTAGTGCCTTTTCTTCTGACTAGCCAGCAGTCCTAGCCAGATGCCTTCACTTTGGAGCCATCCAAGTAATCAGCCTGGTAACGTCACTGCATTGCACATCAGGCACCTGGCAAGTTGAACACTAACGGCATCCCAGAAAATGTCTGCTGAGGAAGGCTACTTCTGAAAATAACTTTCAAAACCTGATAGCAAGCCTCACATAGGGCTCAAAACAAACTGCTTTTTG